TTTACAACCATGATCTACTTTCAATGGCTACTCAAGAAATCAAAATCAAGGAAGCTAACAAGTCTACCAAAAACATATATGATCAAGACTATTTCCCCGTTTGGTACGTTTTTGTTCGTTTTAAACTTTGGAAATCGTTTGCCATTTGGAAACCGTGGGCAAGAGGAATTAGAGATGAAGACTTGAGAATAAAGACGAAGACTCGAGGACAAGTCTTTTTTAAGAGGGGGAGAATGATGCGTGCTTTAATAAGGATGACCCAACCCTTACCTTTTCTAAAGTTCCATGATTTGGTGGCAAGAAAGGCTTCATGAAAATAATCATAAATAGCTTAAATGAGTTGAAGAAGCTTCATAATCGGCTTATTAATTGCTGCCATAATGGATCTTTAATATTTCAATAATGGGTCATTAATTAGTTTAATAATGAGACTTTAATAGTTATTTAATTGCTTTAGACTTTTGATATTTCCGAGAGTTATGTTATTAGCACTATAAGTAGAGTTCATTCTTGTACATGAAAATCAGTTATCTTTTGAAGAAAAATAAGAACTTTGTTCATCCCTTTCTTGAATTATTGCTTATAATTCAGATTTGTATCATTGTTTGGGACGTGATCTCATTCGTGATTTTTGAATTCAATTCAATAGGTCTTGGATTGTTTTCACCGATTTTCAAGTTATAGGTCTAACTTGATCATCATACTATTCTTTGTTACTTTTTCGTGTTATTCCCTTGCAAACGGTTCCAAATATAACCAAAAACAGCCCCATTTGCATTGTTTCTTCTCTATTTGTTATCATTTCACTGCAGTCAGAAACACTCCAAAACAAAACCTCCCATACGTATCACCCATTTCCGTTAATAGAATAAATTTTTTTTATTATTATTGTTATTAAAATTTCTGTTAACATTTGGGTTAGACAAATCAATTAATGTACTATTTTATTTTATTTTTAGTGTCGAAATGAAATAAATAAAAACAAGTGTAACACCCTCAAAATTATTTGAGAAAAATTTTAGTTTACGACTAAGCCGGGTTACGACCATTTAATCGGGTAAAATTTTAAATTCCGTTTAACGTCGGTTTGGGGTGGATCCCCACCTGGCCGCCAACTCAAGCCCTATATAAGGGTTGAGTGGCTTTCACATGAACCTTTTCTCACTCCTAGAAGCTTACTCTCTCTACTCTCTCTCTCTCTCTCTCTCTCTCTCTCTCTACAAGTGGGTTTAGCCAAGAAACACCTCATTCAAGCTCCAAATCCGTAAGTAATCATTCCTAGCTAGTTGTTTTGCTTTGTGTTCATGCAAATTCGGGATTTTACCACCCAAAATACCTTAAAAACTAGAGTTTATGGTTGGAGAACACCTCCCAAAACCGTAAACTCCTATAAGGGAGTTTTGAATCCCCAAAATCCCTCCAAAACCCTTCTAATGCTCATCTTTGACTTAGAAACTTGCATGAATGAAAGTAGAAACCCAATATCGTGCCTTTAAGGGAGTAAACGGTCCATGAACATTCATGAATCGTAAACACAGAAACCGTAAACACCAAAAAGGGTGTTTTGGTGTCCCTAACGCCTTCCTTAGCATGTTTAAGGGACTAGAAACTTGTATGAATGAGCCTAGGACCACAAAAACAAAGGATAAGAGGTGTCCAAGGGTTTACGGCCATAAACCATGGTTGTCACGACCGTAAACTCCCAAGGAGTGGTCCAAGGACCGCAAACTCCAAGGAAGTGCCCCTTTAGAACCACAATCACTTCTCAAGCCTTGGATTTAACATTAGAACCCGTCCTAGTGATGTAAGAGTCCCTTAAGCACACAAATACACTCCTCCCATGATTTTACGACCGTGAACTCACGGGGGAATTGGTCCATCAACCGCAAAATCATCTAAGGTGAGTGTTTGAGAAGTAACCTCCATAGTGAGGCCTTACACTGCTTCCTTTCAACCCAATAACCTCCTAGCACTTGACGAAAGCATTTTCTTCACATTAGGATGTCTATACATGCTTAATTAGTGTTTAGTCACTAATTATATGTAAACATATGTCATCATATGTTACTAGGGTCATAAAGTGTGTTCAAGTCTTCACTTGACCCCAAGCACTCAACCGACACTTCCATCTGATCCACTCGCTGTAGGTGAGTTCATATCCCTTAATTAACCTTTCATATGTTTTTAAATGTTTTTATGGGGGCGGGGGGAATACAAGTCGAATACAACAAGTTATAGTATCAATCACATTGTAACTTACAATCAAAAAGGATTTCTATACTTTTAACCGTTTTGCCTTCAAAAATTGTTTTCAATGTTTATCAAACTCATTCTCACGTTAATTTGTTATAAAAACTATTTTCAAACTCTTTTAAACTTCTTATGTTTCTAAAATATATCCATACCAATATATTTATATAAGTAAGACTTAAAGGACTTAGGATTGATAGCTCGTCTTATTACCTGTTCTTGTTTGATTGGGGTCTTAGGGTATATTGTTATCTGTCTGACTGTCGTTAAATTATTAGTTATATATTGTATGTATTTGTGTTGGATATGAATACCTTAGTTTATTTAAATATTTATGAGTATCCAAGAACGACTGCAACATGCCAGTTAACTATAATAGGTATAGTTAAGGTTTACCACTCCTCGCTACCATTACTATGATACTTACCACAGTTAGTGCTATTATGAGTCACTACATGTTAAGTACTATACAGGAAGAATACTATATGCTATAACAAAAGAATACTAAATACATTATACCGAGAAGCACATTATACACTAATACAAGAGAACATACTAAAACAGAATGTGAGACACAATCTCTCTATACGACACTTTACTGCGCCTTCACCGTGTAACCTTAGTCTCCTGGAGGGATAGCAGGCTCTACGTGTATAGATCTGAGAACAGTTTGGAACGAAGACCACGGGAAGAAAGGCTTTGATGCGTGTATGGATCACTCCAAGCGCAACTAACACGAATCCAGACTTCTAACACATCAACTGATACTAATATTGGGATTGACACCATAAATAGTATCAAATGGGTTTGAAAATGCAGCGGAATAAACAACAATGGATTTGACAAGAACAAAATAAAGAAAAAGGGATAGATTTGAATATCAAACTAGACCTATAGCTTGAAATTCTATGAAAACAAGTTAAGACCTATTAACTTGAGTTCAAGATCAATATTAAGAGGCGCCTCCTAATAAGGATCAAATTTTGAATTGTCACAACAACTCGGAATGTACAACACTTCAATTTTCAATATATTCAAAAACATAATTCTCTTCTTACAAATGAAAGGAAATGGCTATATATAGCCTTACAAGATAATGGTTAAAAACTCAAAAGACACTCTAACAACTATGCCAACTAAAGGCTTATTAAATGCTGAAATAAACACACCACTAATGACCATTAATGATTCATTTGTAACTCCCACTTCACTAATGACCACTAATGATTTATTTTTAACTCCCACTCCATAACTCCATCACATTAATGATTTATCTGTAACTCCCACTCTATAACTCCATCACACTTAACCATCTCCATTGTAACTCCCATGCATTAATCCACATCCATATCAGCTTCTCATGTTACCATGCACACAAATTTTGCTACATCACATGCCATGTGGCCAGTACCAATTTATCGTTGTTATAGCTCACATCATAATCAATAGATGAGCCTATTGCGATCCAAATTGGGTTGGAACTTGAAGATTGGGTAATGCAATCCAAATTCGTATCATCCCTTCCCACTTCAAAAGGAATTGACCTCAATTCTGCAAGTCCATCATCTTCAAGATATGATGAAAAGAAACTGATCTTCCTCGGTATCGTATACCAGAAGTAACTCAAATGCTTAGAGTCACGGTCTAAAACATTCATCTTGGTAACTGCATGCAAATACACCATCTTTAAAAACATTTTGGGCCAAAGGAAATTCCGTTTTAACACTTCCAAAGTCTTGATCATCCCAAAATGACCAGTTAAACCATAACCATATGCTTCTCGTACTAGCCATTCATGAATCTGACACCTTGGAACAAAAATATGCTTCCCATTGAAGAGAAAGCTATTTTGCAATAGAAACTCTTTGGCACCTTTAGCACATTGTTCACGATCAATGAAATTACCATCACCATAGTAGTTCTCAGTTTCCATAGGAGTACTGAAGTCTTGTTTGTTTCTGATTGACATCCTTGCTTTGTAAACCATGCCCTTCGAATTCCATTCCCCTTTTAAAACAACAAGGTCTAAACTCTTCTCCTGCATCTCATATAATCTTTGAGATCTAGGGCTTCAAACAACTGCTTAAACTTCACCAAATATTGTTCCCTGCTTTTGTGATACACCAAGATTTCATCAAGGTGTATCATGAACTTGAAAAGATAGAAAAGATTTGGCCATATCAACATAGGAGCAACTATCACACGTTTCTTCTTCATTCCCAACAACATCTTAACAGACCGATCATAATGATAACGAAGTACTTCCGTTCGCAATGATGCAATTGTTTTAGTCGCAATGATGTAACTTTTCCAATCACAAAGACGTGACCAATCGCAATGATAATGACTTCCTTCTGTTTGAAATAGTGTTTCTCCTTGTAACAAACCAAAACAATGTTGGCTTTCCTCCTTCACCAATTTGTCTCGCCTCCATCTACAAACATTCTTCTTCGAACAGCTTGAAGAACTTGCTGAATTTATTCCTTACCACACTCTCCATTTATGGAACAAAAACCATTTTTGCAACTTCTCATGAAAAAGATAAGGACCCTGGAAATTAACTTTGTAAAAATTTAAAAGGTTAACATCAGTCCTTTGAAAGAACGAATCATGCTTTCTATTTGTGGATTGGTGAATAGCACGTCCCAACATTAAGGCTTCCCAACTTAAGGTACACCACAAAAATAAGAATCCAAACATTATGAACCCCTTCCCATGTGAATACTTGGGACTTGACTCTTCATGTTGATTCACTCCTTTTTTGCTTTTTGGAAGATGGTTTGTAACAGAATAGACACCATCCTTCTCCGTTCTTTCATCACCAACTTCACCCCATGTCTCCTTATGTTCTTCAATAACAAACGAAGAACCAATAACAACATCGGTTGTCTGTAGCCAATAAAAAAGTTAGATTCGCCACACGAACCAACTTTTCGTGTTTGATCGCAACCACCAAGAATATTTCTTTGTGAAACCTCCCCCATATTGTCTTCTATAGGGTACAACATTTTGTCATCATCCAATAATAACTGGCCTTGTAGTCTTTGAATCATCAACAAAACCTCACCATCTCCAATCACGCAAAACTTTTTATCAAAAGTACTAGTGAAAGACGACAAAATAACAACAATAACACAAGGGTTCACATAAACGTCACCCTTCGTCTCCTCTGGTGGTCGATCTGTTGGAGTCACATCCTGACACACCATGGGTAAATCAACATTTGGGTCTTCATGATGCGAAACCTCCATCACTTTTGCATCCTCTTGCACCACAATACATCTTCGCATTTAATATGCTCCACTTTGATTTCACTCTTCAATATAGTCGAATGTTTCTGGACTTGTTTGTCATCTATGGGATACACTGTTGTAGATGTCATGGACTCTTGGAATTTCTTTCTTGGTTCAACCAAAATTACCTCCTTCTCAAAAAATTTGTTCGCATCAACAAAATTATTTTCTTCCATGATTTCCTCCACAGTTTCAAGAGTTTCGACCTTGGAGTTATCTCCTTCTTCAACTTCTTCAATGAATTCATCCACCGCTTCAGTATTATCATCTATAATCATTAAATTCGTTTCTTCAATAATTACTTCAGCAATTTTGTCTTCAACAACGAAATTAACTTCTTCCACCTTGACTTCTTCCATCCTGACATCAACAACATTAGCTTGGTCATCAAAGGTTTGTGAAGTTTCAAATACTATAACTGTGTCAACAGCAGAGGCTTTGTACTCTTCTTCTTCCGCTTTGATCATAACTGCCTTCGTAAATATCTCCACCCTTCTTTTGAAATTAACAGTCTCCAAGGTCATTGGCGCATACCTCTCTCGAAGTTTTCGTTTCAGAGATTCCCAAGAAGAAAGCTTTCCCTTTCCTTCACGGGTTCTTTTTGCCTTCAACTTTTCATACCATAATTCAGCTTCTCCTCTCAATCTTAGAATGGCATATTTGCAACCCCATTCATCGTCCACACATTTGAACTGAAAAACTCTTTCCATCTCCTTCTCCCAATCCAAATATTTTTCTGGATTGAATCCTCCAATGAATTTAGGCAATTCATGTATCTTCAACTCCCCCACATTCCTTGGCTGCTCACGCCTAGGTTTCCTTCGCTTTGATTCTTTGGATACATACTGCATAGCTTCAAGAAGAACACAAAGAAAATTCGGATCATCACAATCCATTATAATTTGAATTCGTGATAACACTTGGCATAATTTTATTTCTTCTTCAGTAACAGCAACAAAAGATTTTTGCCAAGAACTTAACAACAGCAAATCAGCAACAGTTGCAAGAACCTCTTTTTTTTTACAAAACAAGAACTCAACAACACCCAATCAGAACTGGGCTCTGATACCACTTATGATGCGTGTATGGATCACTCCAAGCGCAACTAACACGAATCTAGACTTCTAACACATCAACTGATACTAATATTGGGATTGACACCATAAATAGTATCAAATGGGTTTGAAAATGCAGCGGAATAAACAACAATGGATTTGACAAGAACAAAATAAAGAAAAAGGGATAGATTTGAATATCAAACTAGACCTATAGCTTGAAATTCTATGAAAACAAGTTAAGACCTATTAACTTGAGTTCAAGATCAATATTAAGAGGCGCGTCCTAATAAGGATCAAATTTTGAATTGTCACAACAACTCGGAATGAACAACACTTCAAATTTCAATATATTCAAAAACATAATTCTCTTCTTACAAATGAAAGGAAATGGCTATATATAGCCTTACAATATAATGGTTAAAAACTCAAAAGACACTCTAATAACTATGCCAACTAAAGGCTTATTAAATGCTGAAATAAACACACCACTGATGACCACTAATGATTCATTTGTAACTCCTACTTCACTAATGACCACTAATGATTTATTTTGAACTCCCACTCCATAACTCCATCACATTAATGATTTATCTGTAACTCCCACTCTATAACTCCATCACACTTAACCATCTCCATTGTAACTCCCATGCATTAATCCACATCCATATCAGCTTCTCATGTTACCATGCACACAAATTTTGCTACATCACATGCCATGTGGCCAGTACCAATTTATCGTTGTTATAGCTCACATCATAATCAATAGATGAGCCTATTGCGATCCAAATTGGGTTGGAACTTGAAGATTGGGTAATGCAATCCAAATTCGTATCATCCCTTCCCACTTCAAAAGGAATTGACCTCAATTCTGCAAGTCCATCATCTTCAAGATATGATGAAAAGAAACCGATCTTCCTCGGTATCGTATACCAGAAGTAACTCAAATGCTTAGAGTCACGGTCTAAAACATTCATCTTGGAAACTCCATGCATTTACACCACCTTTAAAAACATTTTGGGCCAAAGGAAATTCCCTTTTAACAATTCCAAAGTCTTGATCATCCCAAAATGACCAGTTAAACCATAACCATATGCTTCTCGTACTAGCCATTCATGAATCTGACACCTTGGAACAAAAATATGCTTCCCATTGAAGAGAAAGCTATTTTGCAATAGAAACTCTTTGGCACCTTTAGCACATTGTTCACGATCAATGAAATTACCATCACCATAGTAGTTCTCAGTTTCCATAGGAGTACTGAAGTCTTGTTTGTTTCTGATTGACATCCTTGCTTTGTAAACCATGCCCTTCGAATTCCATTCCCCTTTTAAAACAACAAGGTCTAAACTCTTCTCCTACATCTCGTATAATCTTTGAGATCTAGGGGCTTCAAACAACTGCTTAAACTTCACCAAATATTGTTCCCTGCTTTTGTGATACACCAAGATTTCATCAAGGTGTATCATGAACTTGAAAAGATAGAAAAGATTTGGCCATATCAACATAGGAGCAACTATCACACGTTTCTTCTTCATTCCCAACAACATCTTAACAGACCGATCATAATGATAACGAAGTCCTTCCGTTCGCAATGATGCAATTGTTTTAGTCGCAATGATGTAACTTTTCCAATCACAAAGATGTGACCAATCGCAATGATAATGACTTCCTTCTGTTTGAAATAGTGTTTCTCCTTGTAACAAACCAAAACAATGTTGGCTTTCCTCCTTCACCAATTTGTCTCGCCTCCATCTACAAACATTCTTCTTCGAACAGCTTGAAGAACTTGCTGAATTTATTCCTTACCACACTCTCCATTTATGGAACAAAAACCATTTTTGCAACTTCTCATGAAAAAGATAAGGACCCTGGAAATTAACTTTGTAAAAATTTAAAAGGTTAACATCAGTCCTTTGAAAGAACGAATCATGCTTTCTATTTGTGGATTGGTGAATAGCACGTCCCAACATTGAGGCTTCCCAACTTAAGGTACACCACAAAAATAAGAATCCAAACATTATGAACCCCTTCCCATGTGAATACTTGGGACTTGACTCTTCATGTTGATTCACTCCTTTTTTGCTTTTTGGAAGATGGTTTGTAACAGAATAGACACCATCCTTCTCCGTTCTTTCATCACCAACTTCACCCCATGTCTCCTTATGTTCTTCAATAACAAACGAAGAACCAATAACAACATCGGTTGTCTGTAGCCAATAAAAAAGTTTAGATTCGCCACACGAACCAACTTTTCGTGTTTGATCGCAACCACCAAGAATATTTCTTTGTGAAACCTCCCCCATATTGTCTTCTATAGGGTACAACATTTTGTCATCATCCAATAATAACTGGCCTTGTAGTCTTTGAATCATCAACAAAACCTCACCATCTCCAATCACGCAAAACTTTTTATCAAAACTAATAGTGAAAGACGACAAAATAACAACAGTAACACAAGGGTTCACACAAACGTCACCCTTCGTCTCCTCTGGTGGTCGATCTGTTGGAGTCACATCCTGACACACCATGGGTAAATCAACATTTGGGTCTTCATGATGCGAAACCTCCATCACTTTTGCATCCTCTTGCACCACAATTACATCTTCGCATTTAATATGCTCCACTTTTATTTCACTCTTCAATATAGTCGAATGTTTCTGGACTTGTTTGTCATCTATGGGATACACTGTTGTAGATGTCATGGACTCTTGGAATTTCTTTCTTGGTTCAACCAAAATTACCTCCTCAAAAAATTTGTTCGCATCAACAAAATTATTTTCTTCCATGATTTCCTCCACAGTTTCAAGAGTTTCGACCTTGGAGTTATCTCCTTCTTCAACTTCTTCAATGAATTCATCCACCGCTTCAGTATTATCATCTATAATCATGAAATTCGTTTCTTCAATAATTACTTCAGCAATTTTGTCTTCAACAACGAAATTAACTTCTTCCACCTTGACTTCTTCCACCCTGACATCAACAACATTAGCTTGGTCATCAAAGGTTTGTGAAGTTTCAAATACAATAACTGTGTCAACAGCAGAAGCTTTGTACTCTTCTTCTTCCTCTTTGATCGTAACTGCCTTCGTAAATATCTCCACCCTTCTTTTGAAATTAACAGTCTCCAAGGTCATTGGCGCATACCTCTGTCGAAGTTTTCGTTTCAGAGATTCCCAAGAAGATAGCTTTCCCTTTCCTTCACGGGTTCTTTTTGCCTTCAACTTTTCATACCATAATTCAGCTTCTCCTCTCAATCTTAGAATGGCATATTTGCAACCCCATTCATCGTCCACACATTTGAACTGAAAAACTCTTTCCATCTCCTTCTCCCAATCCAAATATTTTTCTGGATTGAATCCTCCAATGAATTTAGGCAATTCATGTATCTTCAACTCCCCCACATTTCTTCGCTACTCACGCCTAGGTTTCCTTCGCTTTGATTCTTTGGATACATACTGCATAGCTTCAAGAAGAACACAAAGAAAATTCGGATCATCACAATCCATTATAACTGAATTCGTGATAACACTTGGCATAATTTTATTTCTTCTTCAGTAATAGCAACAAAAGATTTTGCCAAGAACTTAACAACAGCAAATCAGCAACAGTCGCAGGAACCTCTTTTTTTTTTTTTTTACTAAACAAGAACTCAACAACACCCAATCAAAACTGGGCTCTGATACCACTTATGATGCATGTATGGATCACTCCAAGCGCAACTAACACGAATCTAGACTTCTAACACATCAACTGATACTAATATTGGGATTGACACCATAAATAGTATCAAATGGGTTTGAAAATGCAGCGGAATAAACAACAATGGATTTGACAAGAACAAAATAAAGAAAAAGGGATAGATTTGAATATCAAACTAGACATAATAAGGATCAAATTTTGAATTGTCACAACAACTCGGAATGAACAACACTTCAATTTTCAATATATTCAAAAACATAATTGTCTTCTTACAAATGAAAGGATATGGCTATATATAGCCTTACAAGATAATGGTTAAAAACTCAAAAGATACTCTAATAACTATGCCAACTAAAGGCTTATTAAATGCTGAAATAAACACACCACTAATGACCACTAATGATTCATTTGTAACTCCCACTTCACTAATGACCACTAATGATTTATTTTTAACTCCCACTCCATAACTCCATCACATTAATGATTTATCTGTAACTCCCACTCTATAACTCCATCACACTTAACCATCTCCATTTTAACTCCCATGCATTAATCCACATCCATATCAGCTTCTCATGTTACCATGCACACAAATTTTGCTACATCACATGCCATGTGGCCAGTACCAATTTATCGTTGTTATAGCTCACATCATAATCAATAGATGAGCCTATTGCAATCCAAATAGGGTTGGAACTTGAAGATTGGGTAATGCAATCCAAATTTGTATCAGGCTCATGAAGACTTATGGCTAAACAATCTCAATAGAGGTGTGGGGATCCGCTCTAATCGTATTACTTGCAACAGGAAAAAGGCGATTTACCTAACACATAGCGTGAGTAGTGTAATCACCAACTCACAAAATTGTATTATTTTATGGATGTATTAGCGCGACTAACACGAGGAAAAAGACACTTCTTGGGTTCCATGTACTGGCTCCTTCTGTCTACCTCGTATCTTTGATTGGGACCGGTATTGGTTTCCTTCGGGTAGTTACCTAAGGTTCTCTTCTCCTATAGACATATTGAATTTCTACTCCGTCTTACTTCTGATTCCGACTCTGGATGTCATCACTTCATGATGGATGACTGGAAATCTCGAAAGTTTAGGCGAATTTCTCACCGATGTCCCTAAAAAGATATATGCAGTTGGTGATTTCAATAGTCTCGACCTAGTTCATTTATTTCCGAACTAGAAATCTTCTCAATGAACCTCTTCTGGGTCTACTGAAGTGGATAGGGTTTTCTACAGGGTTCGTGCGAGAATGGAAATGTCTAAAGAATCCTAAGAGATTATTAACATTTCGCTGGCTGATCCATATCGAGTCCTGCTACAATTATATAGGGTTCACAAATCATATATAGCTTAGATCCGATAGGCCTTCGAATATGTGATACTACTCTATATCCACATCCCAACTAGGAAAAGGAAGTAGAGCGAAACCAGACATTTTTAGTCTATGGGATCCTTATTATATTTAACCTTGGGAGAATACCCTTTGTAATTGCAGGTATATCAACAAGGATCTTTTCAGTTCTTCACACAAGGTTATCTATGGATCCTAAAATACCCCTATGGTATTTTAATTTCTTGTTTGATTCTTAACTTCTAAATATGATTATGAGATTAATGTGGGTCTTTTAGTATTCCAAAATACTCCCATCGTATTTTAAACTTTATGTTTGGCTCTAGCATTCCTAGTTGGTAAGTTTCAGACCTGTTGCAACACCACTATCACTCCCAAGCACACGTTCTTCGCATCTCGAATAAAGGTAGTTGATCAGGTTACATTTATTGCAGCTTATGATTACATAACTGCCCAGGTTTGACGGTAATGCTCAACATCCGAAGACTTTTATTCTTGTTCTTCTTCTAATACTTGTGTTCGAGTGTTTAGATTCTGGATGTTCTTATACTTTGGTAAAATATGGTTATATTTTAAAGTAATTTTTGGTCAGAGTGTTTTATCCCTATGTATTTATAGGCTGTATATCTTTTATGAATTGATATACTGAGCTCACTATAAACAATGCTCTGATACCAATCTGTCACACCCCAAAACCGGAACGGCGGAAACGTTCTGGGGTGGATGACGTCATGTCAAGTATCACAACATATGCAGTATAGTAAAAAAAAGTACAACAACCATTGCATTAATAGTAATAGTTTTACATAAGTTACATTTTAGAGAGTCATCAAAGTAATACAAGTAATAATATAGGTGTAGCTTGGTATTAGGTTGTCTCCACAAAAGCTCTTGGGATGTACCTATCTATTGCTGACCTGAGAATACAAGTTATTTTGAAAGCGAGTATCAACATTTTTATAAATGATGGTGAGTTCATAAGTATTTAGTGTCATTTGTGTAAGTAAGCATTTTATTCAAAATAACTTTATAAAAGTAGTAGTTTAGAATATACGGTGTATTAGCGTCCTTTCCAGAAAATCCTATATTTTCTAATTAAAAGCAGTCTTCTACCAAGACTTGACAGTGTTATGTTTTGAAAGGGTAATTTTCCCCGAAATACTATCATTACCAAAATACGGTATTTGATTTTAAAGAAAGTAGGAGAATATCACTAGTAAAATACTAGGGGAAAATAACATATGCCTCAGCAGAAAACACTGCTGACTAAGGCATAGGAAATCATAGACTCCATGACAGTATTGAATGAACGACACGCCTGACTCAGTCTAACAAAAAGGAAACACAGACCCCAGATGGTATTAAATGTACGATACGGCTAGCAAGGTCTAACACAAAGAATCACAGACCCCAGACAGTATCAAATGAAAGATACATCTAGCAAGGTCTAAAATAGAGAAACACAGACCCCAGACAGCATCAAATGAAAACTACAGCTAGCAAGGTCTAAAACAGAGAAACGTCAAACCCCAGACATTATCACATGAAAGATACAGCTAGCAAGGTCTAAAACAAAGAGTAATTCTAAAACACGGGGAGACCCGTGTCTTGAAGATGCATCTCGTATAGTGAATTTTTATGTAGGTACTGGACTAACGATAGAGACTCACAACTGAACTGACTCCTTTGGAATTCGCGTACTAGAAAGAGTAAATAGAGCTTCCTAACTTTTCCTATAATAGTTACTAGTGTCTCTGATCTATGAGTGACGAGTAGGAGGATGCCCTTGCTACCCAAGGGAAATGAACTGGCCGATGTAAACCTTTATGTCTATACATGTATACATAATATATAATTAATGTTTAAACGACCTTCGGACGAATATTCGATCCCACCAGACCACATCCAAACGAGGAAAAGGAAATAGGGCGAACTAGCCTTTCTAAGTCCTTTAAACATTATTTATATAACTATACAAGTACAGGCATGCATTTAACGAAGTAGAAGCATTTAACGAAGTAGAAGCACTTAACGTAGTAGTAGCATCTAACGAAGTAGAAGCATAACGAAGTAGTAGTATCCTACGAAGTAGAAGCATAACGAAGTAATAGTATCTAACGAAGTAGAAGCATAACAAAGTAGTAGTATCCTACGAAGTATAAGCATAACGAAGTAGTAGTATCTAACGAAGTAGAAGCATTTAATGAAATAGAAGCATAGAAGCATGGAAGAAAACTTTGACGAAAACTTTGGAAAACCTTTACACTTAAGAAAATCATGACTTGATATCCTTTTGTAAAATAAGTTTGAAGACCTTTAGAAATCCTTGAAAATCTTTCATAAACAAGTTTTGAATATAACTTTGATAAAACAATATAAGTAAAGAAAATCCTTTGTTTAGAATACTGTTGTAACTGGTTTTGAAGTAAAACATACAGTGCGAGAGACAATTTGAGAAAAGACTTAAACAAGTAAAGATGTTTTGTAAAACAATCTATAGTATCATACTTGGTAAAACAACTGAAAGCGTGATAAATCCTTGTGCATGCGGGTTATTAATCACATATGATTGATATGATAACTGGCATGTTTTAACTTGTATTCCCCCCCCCCCCCCCCCATAAAAGCATGTAAAAACATTTTAAAAGGTTAATTCATGGGTATGAACTCTGATGCGTGTATGGGCTTGATTTAGTGAGTAGGGTGGTGTTTAGGTAAATTAAGAGAGAATAGCAACCACAAATGATATGTGAATGGAAAGAAATAGATAGATTAGTATAGTAACAACTCAAGACCTATTAAGTTGTATACCGATGAAAACAATCCAAGACCTATTGGATTGAGTTCGTATCAAGTCAAGAACACGTCCCAACAAGATAATTTGAGAATTATAACAATAATTCAAAGTGAAAATAATGGTTCTTTGATTAAAATTCGTGCCTTACTTTTTCCATGCATAATTTGGCTTTATATGAAGCCTTTATTACAAATTTGGTGGTTACAAGCCAACCAACCAATTATTCATTAAAACTAGTAAATAGAAATTAAAGTAAGTCTTGAAAGAACACA